CATTACCTTTGCTAAACACACCACGGGCATACACACATGTGGACCACCGCCTGGACTCTGTGTACGAGGAAAGCTACTGGTACTTCATTTGGTGAAGTCAAAGTGTACCAAGATTTTATTATCGACGATACTGAAACCAATGCCATGGGGAAACATCGAGGTAGAGGTAGAAACCGACCTCGACCAAATCACATATGGGACCCGAACACCAAGGTCGGGAAAATGCGCTTGATTTTCGAGCGATCGAAACAGGCGTCGGAAAGCAACCACCCACAATGCTACTCGCTATGGAGAAGACGAGACACCTGGCTAGCCACTGCAAAAGACAAAAGGGAACATCCCTGTTGGTGCATACGAACCCCAACGGAGTGGCAGGCCATACCCCATATGGATCTCATCCGGGGAAGATAGCAACAATGGGAGACCACTCCTCCGCAAGAACATAGTCGCCATATATGCTATTGTGAACTTGTCGGATGGTCTGAAATATGTTGGACGCGCGGTAGATAATCCGTATGCAAGATTTACGGGGCATTTAGGTACCGGAGATCGGTTGGGCAGGACACTAGACCTAGATTGGACTAAGTTTGCGGTTTTCGAGCTCGACACACTCCCCCGTTACTTGCCGGAAGGCCATAGGTCTGGCACACTACTACACTGGCGGCAGAGGGAGAATTCCTGGATTGCATGCATGGACACTGTCAGAAATGGTTACAATACCAAGAGAGAGATTGCATGCCCCCCTAGCCCAGGTTTGCCTTCGAATGGTTGTGGTACGCGACCGATCAAACGGTCTAGACACGAAGCACGCAAGACTACAACGAATGGGGGTTGCCAGCAGAGGATGTTCCGGTCCCGTGACTGGAAACGAAGCGAATACAGTACCTTGCCAAGCTGATTCAGTCAAGCCTTATAAAGTCGATGCCTACATCAAAGCGTAGCACCAAAAAACATTCTGCGCATGATTAGGTATGTAGGGCAGGTGGGTATCACAGAGGATGTGCANAATGGTTGTGGTACGCGACCGATCAAACGGTCTAGACACGAAGCACGCAAGACTACAACGAATGGGGGTTGCCAGCAGAGGATGTTCCGGTCCCGTGACTGGAAACGAAGCGAATACAGTACCTTGCCAAGCTGATTCAGTCAAGCCTTATAAAGTCGATGCCTACATCAAAGCGTAGCACCAAAAAACATTCTGCGCATGATTAGGTATGTAGGGCAGGTGGGTATCACAGAGGATGTGCATTTAGCGTTCCAGGCACTACGCAAAGCATACCTCGCGACTTTCCCCCCTCCGCTGGTTAAGCAACGTAAGGTACCTCAACGAGTAGTGATTGGTTTTACTAGTTCTGTTGCAGACTCCTTGGGGCTNAAAATCATGGTAAATATAGATGTATTTGCAAAGACCCCCAATGAAGTAAGTACACGATTGTTGCCAAGGATGGTTCCAAATGTTTGATTAATACAGATGCCGGATGTTTTCAGGATGACAACGCTGCAGCTGTGCTAAACTTACAAGCTGGTTTTAGAACAGAATATGCTGAAGCCTTGAATTACCTGTCTTTCTTTGAATCGCTCATAGACGGCATAATAAGCGCCAACATATGGTTACACTGAAGTAATATCGGGCATTCCCACATTGGGAAACAGTGTTATCTACTAGGTGTAAAATGTCGACGTTACACTGTCAAATGTGCCGATTTGCTATTAGATGTACTGACATTCGATTTTTCCAAGCTGCCACATCCAGATTGATTGATGGCTGACATGCTTGCACGTTTCTATTCTAGTCGACTCATACGCAATACTTTACACAATTTCATGTATACCTTTTTTCGTACCTCACCAGTGACNTTACACTGAAGTAATATCGGGCATTCCCACATTGGGAAACAGTGTTATCTACTAGGTGTAAAATG